TAACGGCTCCACCTTAAGATCACAAATGGAGGCTTTTTGAGATCCTGAATACTTGAGCATAGTGTGTGAAAGAATGTATTTAATGTCCCCGCCTTGAGATCACAAATTTAAAGTTTTATGAGATCCCAAATACTTGAGCATAAGGTATGAAGGTATGTGTTTAATGTTTTCGCCTTGAGATCACAAATTTGAGGCTTTATGAGATCTCTAACACTTGAGCATAAAGTGTGAAGGGATCAGATGAGTTTAATATCTCCGCCTTGAGATCACAAATTTGAGACTTTATGAGATCCCAAATACTTTGACATAGGGTGTGAAAGGACAAATTTTGTCCACCTTAAAGCATGAAAATTTAAAGATCTTTTTAAGGATAAATCTGTGAAAAGGCCAGCTTAAGATGCAAAGAGACAATTTTGTGTACCTTAAGATATGAAAATTTAATGGTAATATTCTTACGGTGCAAAGGGATGGTTACTCGTGTCCGTCTTAAGAAAGGTAATTTGAAGGTATTCTTATGGCTTAAAGGGATGGATACTCATCCCCGGCCTAAGAAAGGTAAATTTAAAGATCAAGACAACTTTCAAACTCAACGGCTTTAAAGAATTTGACTTGCAAACATGGTAGATCTGAGACCTCAAATTTTAGGCATGAATAGTTTGCAGACTTCAACTTGTAGATTTGAAGAATTTACATTCTTTAACTTGCATACATGATTGCCTTGAGACCCCAACTTGCAAACTTTAAGAATTTAAAGACCCCAATTTGTATACTTGAAGAATTTGAAGACTTCAACTTGTATACTTGAAGGATTTGAACACTTCAACTTGCAGACTTAAAGAATATGAAGATTCCAACTGCATACTTAGTTGATCTGAGACCCCAACTTGCATACTTGAAGAATTTTAAGGCTTCAACTCACATACTTGGTTGATTTGAGATCCCAACTTACAGACTTGAAACTTTTTAAAAACTTCAACTTGCATACTTGGTTGATTTGAGAGCTGAACTTGCATACTTGGAGTGTGACCATGCAGTTTGTGGACCGTCAGATCTAGGTGACTCGAACGCAAGATTTGAGGTTGATAAAAGATAAGACAAATGTGAGATGAGCTCCTCAGCCCGAGGTTCAATTGCCAGAGTTATTTGAGGGACCGACCTTAGAGTTGGGTAAAGAGGGTTTAGCCCTTGAGTCAGGTGCTTCTAAAGAGGAGCCTACAGTGGCTGCCACTACATCTGTCACACCACCTACTAGCATTCGTATCGGAGTCCCACACCCGTGGTCTTCGGGCATGGTTACTATCATTGCGGAATTCCTACATGAGTTAGTCCAGCACCAAACGTAGATCGAGATGCAGTTAACACAGTTGATCCAACCGGTGAAGCCATGGATTAGAACCTCTATTACTCGGGCTGAGGAGCGAGTGGCTATGAAAATGTAGTCAATAATTCGCGGGGTAGCTCATTACACAGTCCGGTAGATGCTTTTGAGCGTCGTGTGATCGAGCGGCTTAAGGATGTGCAAAGTCTAGACTTGCGGGGTCTACTGGCAGAGGTGGCCCATCTTTTATCAGCCATCACTTCTTTGTCCACCACACAAGCACCAGTCATATCCACCTTCCCTATGTCAATGTCGGATGCCCTTTTGATTGTAGTTGATTTATTTGCTGATGAATTGCTCTCACCAACGCAAGGAAGTGAGTGCACACAGGAAATGATGTTGTATATGAGGATGAGTCCGAGAGAGCCTGAAAGAGAGAGCAGCGAGAGGCTGAGACGGCCAGGCAGAGGTCAATAGTCCACGAGCAGTTGAGAGAGGATAGGAAGCTGCAGCGCATTGCTGTTGCTTCTAATTTGGAACCAACTATTGATGGTACCACCACAGTAGTATTAAGACGCCGGGTGAGACTGCACATACGGATACCGTCGTTTAGGCGACACATGTATGCTTTCACCTCTATTATTAATTTTTTTTTTTTTGCATTGGGGACAATGCACAATTTTTGATGGGGGTGGAGGTAGTCTGTATGCCTTGACAAGTATCGTGGTGAAGTTTGAGTAACCGGAGTACTTGTCCAGGTTTTTGTAAAGTATCTCGGCAAAGTCTGAGTAGCCTAGATACTTGCTTGTGTCCTTGGGGTTTTCTTGTTGTGTTCTTTTTGCGAGGACTTTAATTTATGTTGAACCATCATGTTTAGGATGTTGTTGTGAATGTAAAAAAAGAATAAGAGCTGATGCAAAAATCCATGGTATGTTTTTATTTGAAATGAAAATTGAGACCCCTCCGAGTTTTAATGTGTTGTGTTTGTTGTTTTGATATTGTGACAATGTGGGATGTTTTCATGACATTACGTATATTGATGTGACAAGTGTGACTTAAGCTAGGGAATAGACCTGATAGTTAGTAGTTAATAGCAAGACTTTGTGTCATGTTTGAGTGAGCTATTTGCATTATTTTTACTTTGTGTGTCAATCTATAACTTGTTCCGTTAGTCTCACCGAAATGACAGGAGTGTTGGTTAGGAAAGGATTATAGGCCATTTTTGAATATACTCCACTTTGCCTAAATGACCGACCAAATAAAATTAATTATTACTTGATCCATGACTTTAAGCCTAAAAAAGATCTTTTTTTGTGTTACCCCAATCACCTTTTTGGGTTTTTTTGTCATGTAAGCTTTTATTTTTGCCTTGGTCCCTCCTTGGACATTGTGCACCTCAACTTAGGTAAAATGCTTAAGCTGAAGATGACTACTATAGAGGTTAATATGAAAAATGGGGTATAAAAAAAACAAGTGTAAATGAAAAAAAAAAACAGATGTGGAGATACTAATATAATTTTATTTTTTTTAAATCAAAGAGCTGCTAGAAATTACTGGCGCATCTGGAAGTCGATATGGAAGAATGAAAAATGGTGAAAAGGGAGGATAAAAGTTTGGTGAAAGTGAAGTAAAGACATTGTACCATTCTCGAGCCTATGTTACAATCCAAGTAAAGTCCTATAGTGATCCTAATTCAATTGTCCAAAAGTTAAGATATAGAAAATACGGACAAGTCTATGATATTGTACATGCATGATTTGAATTTCTTTTGTAAGAGTGAGTGTTACCTAGTCCCCGATTTTGAAAATCATGATATTGTGTGCAAACATGACTTCTTTGTGGTGAGGATATAAGAGTAGCATTGCTAATTATTGGTTAGATAGGTGATTGTTGTTTGTGCATGTAACCTTGTCTGTTAGTATGATGATGCCATTCATTGATCCGCATGTGTTAGTTTAAGAACTTGGTAATTTACACGGATTATAAGAAAAAGGAGGACGCCGTGTTTTGCGAATTCAAATGTTGAAAGCCATGTGGTTGATGTAGGTTCTTAGTCTTATTTTGCTAAGTTTGTCGTGATGTGTTAGTTGTGTCAGTTGCTTGAGGACAAACAATGATTTTCAGTTGAGATTGTTGATATGTTGTGGATTTACGATACTTTTAATGCTTAAAACTTAAGATTTGTGTATGTTCTCTTGCGCACTTTAGCAGATTTGATGAGTTTTTGTGTTAAATTTGCAGAAAAATAGGACTCAAAGGCTAAGTGCTAAAAAATGGTGATGCAGGACCATCTACGAGTCATTCTATGAGTCGTAATTTGATCCACGAGCCGTAGACGACAGTCATAAGTAAGATTCAGAAAGTTGAAAAAACCCTGAGTTCTACGAAGAGACAGTACGAGCCGTAGAAGGGACTCGTGGTCAAGATTCATAGAAGGGTGTAAGAAGTCTAATTTTTATGAGGGAAGAATACAAGTTGTAAAAGGTTTCACAGATTGTAGTTCTTGTCCGTGGAAAATTCTTGAGACTATGAAGTTCCTGCTATCTACGATAGGCTTCCATGAGCCGTAAAAGAGGCTACGACCCATAGATTGGTCCGTAAAAAATGTCAAACCCAACTTTCGTAGTTTGATTTGGATAGATTTTTAATGTCTAAATACTTTTCCTATTCATTTATGGATTATGTTCGTTTTAGTTCTGAAAATAGAAGTAAACAACAACTTTGCTTTTATTCTTGGATTTTGGAGCAAAACTACAATTGGATCTTTGTTTTTTTACTTTGAATTTCAAACTCAAGATTTCGGATTTCTACTGTTCATCATGTAAGTGCATGATTTTGTTAAATTTAATTATTGTTAATTGTTATCATACAAGTATGAGTAGCTAAATCCACAACTAGAATTGTGGGAACCATGAAGAATTAACGAAGTAGACCTAATTTTTAGTAATCCCTATAGTGTGCATGCATGCATTATTTTTCTCTTTACTTTGATTGCTTTTTAATAGATGCATACATTTGAACTCGCCTTATTCTTACTTGCCATACCAATGAGGTAACGAATGAGAAAATAGATTATACAACGAAGATTTGAGGCTATCAACCCTCATCTAATAGCTTTGCCTTGTCTGGAAATAGCTAATTTGGAATTAAGGGTATGGATTAGTAAAACAAACACTCGTAGATGGACCAAGATACGTGGTGATATGCACTTATTTAGGGGACCAACCACTTAGGTGAACCTAACTTACCGATCTTGCATACTACACACTAGAAAATGTTACTAATATCTGGTCTTACTAAGTTATGACTCCATGGTGATCTCAAAACTCTAATTTCGTCTTTTATTGATTCAAAACCAATGAAATTGATGTTTTATTACTTGTTGGTTGCAATTACTATAGAATTTGATTTGTTACACAACCCCCCTTCGAAAATAATATGACTAAGAGCCCAAATAATAAAAACTGAACTGAGTCCAAACCGTATTGCTTGTGGGATCGACTCTAACCTTGGTTAGGTTCTATATTTGAACAACAACCACTTTATACTTATTTTGGGAGGTGTAATTTGGATGTATTAGCCCACCATTCTCACTTGGATTTGGCTACATCCGGGAAATACCTTAATCATGTCATTAGGGTTATAATTAACATAGGAAACTTAGATGACTTTCAAAGTAAAATACACATTGTACTATTCCTTAACAAAAAATGTCCCATTAATGTTTCTTGGTAAACTTTTTAACGAGGGAACTAGTAATGCGTATTACCAAATATGTTGCACCATAGAAAGAAAAAAAAAGTGATGTTCGAAAGTAATTGCAAGAGTTTTATATTCTACTCTTTCCATGTTGCACAAAATAAGATTCATCAGCATTGGCTAAACGATCTTGAAACATAGCCCACTCATTTGTACACCTCTCTCTTACCTACAATACATAGTTTCATTACTTTAGCCAATACAGTAATCAAATAATGCTTTTTATCTATTATTTCAGCCATAAAAAAATTGTTTCAAAATATTCAGTCACTTTTTATGGAAAATTAAGAAAACACATTTGATGTTTTTCAACTCAAACTTAATTACACCAAAAACGCGTATTGTCATTAATTGTTTACTTACGGAAGAAATAATTGTTAATTTGACAACTACTCTTCATGAATAATGCTACTCCCTCCGTCTCTTTGGCATGATACAAAGTTTAAGAAAGAAAATGAAGAGTTTTAAAAGTTGTGGTCTAAACGACTTCCTTGACCATTTGTGTGGCTATAAATCATGGGGAAACTAAGCAAATACCCCATAAAAGTAAAATAATTACAAATTATATCCCTTTACTAAGGGTGTGTATCGGTCGATTCGGTTCGGTTTTAAGTATTATCGGTTCGGTTTATCGGTTTTTAAATTATGTCAAACCGATAACCAAACCAATAAGATATTTGTTATCGGTTTTCAGTTTATCGGTTTTAGGTCTTTAAAGGTTCAGTTTTTCGGTTTTAACCAATTAAGAAAAATGCTTTCAAAACAAATATATGACTTATCCAATAATTTGACACAATACTAATACATCGAAATAATCATCCCAAACGGGACAACAGGGACCAACTTGCTATATTTTGGTCATCACAACAAAGTCTTGATCAATTTTCGATCACCATAATATATAACACGAGGTCTCCTTTATGCAATAAAGAAATCAAATAAAATCAAATCATAGACAAAAGTCAAAACAGTAGCAAATGAGGCCATGCTTATGGTAAATCATATATAAAGAAAAGAC